TACAACAATCAAACAAGAACATGTACGACCATCGGCGTAACATATGCTACCAGGATTGTCCGAACCAAATTCCAGACTCCAGTACTAACCCCAGACTCGACGTCCACAACACACCCCTGGCCCTCAGCCAGCACCACTCGTGATCACACCTGATCCCCGAGTTTTACTAGGCTCACACTAGCCTCATTGCACCATCTCACCACGGCTGCAATCCTGACCCNACCCGGTCAGCACCACCTGAGATCCACTCCCGATCCCCGAAGTTCATCCAGTCTCATGCTTACAACCACATTACATATACTATTGCTTATACTCATATCTATATACAACACTTCGCTCTCAGGATCGTCACCCTTTGAGCTCTCGAAGTATATCATACCCCTCCACCTTCAGGACCACCGTCCATCCAGCTCTCGGTATGCTCCAGAACCTCTCACTCTCAGGACACACAGTCCGCCAAGCTCGGCTGCAGAGGTACCACACATCCCTTGGAGAGGCTTCACCCCTCAAAGTATATGCAAGGGAACCACTTTCCCCCGGAGGGAAACATCACTGTCCCCTCAAGTATACCCAGGAGAACCACTATCCCCTGGGGCAATCACTCTGTAACATGCATCTTAGGCACCTGTCGACTGAAATCACCTCTCGTGGTCATCCGAAACAACCCAATCACCAGGGTGTTTCGCAGAGTCCCTGGAAAAGACAATTCTAACTCACATAAAACCTCTTTTCCAGACTCTCCCTAGGAAATAGACAAGTTCTAACGCGCATAGAGCTTACATTTCCAGCCACTCTTGGAACATGTACAATCTCATTTCCAGCCACTCCTGGAACATGAGCGATCTCATTTCCAGCCACTCTTAGAACATGAACGATCTCATTTCTAGCCACTCCTAGAACATGAACAAGCTCATTTCTAGCCACTCCTAGAACATGAACAAATCTCATTTCCAGCCACTCCTGGAACATGAGTAATCTCATTTCCAGCCACTCCTGGAACATGAGCAAGCTCTAAGCCGTGCAAAACTTCTATTCCTAGCCATCCTAGCCGATAGGCAAGCTCTAACTCACATAGAACTTCTATCGCTAGACCTCCACATGACCTACCGGTCATCACAACCATGACATCACTAGTCATCTCATACGAACACACGTCTTAACCACACATTTAATAAGGCAA